GACAGACATGAGTGTTTTCTCCTAAAAGACATTGTGAGGCTGGTTGCTGTTAGCAACCAGCCTCACAATGGCTTGGGATAGTGTTGGATGATCAAACTAAGAGCTAACAGATGTGCTGCTACTAATGTCTTGCATGTCAAGCTGCCACGCCATGAAAGGAACCTAACAGCACAGGTCTGGACAAAGGCACCAGAGAAAGAAGGAGAAGGATGAAGTATATCTGAACAGAAAGACAGTAGAGACACTACACCCACAAGGGCTGATAGAAACTGACAGAAAGTAAGACAAGACAGGAAAAAAAGAGCTGCAATAAGCAACTCTATGAAAAAGTGTTTGTACCTTTACTAGCTGTGAGAAAATGCAGAGTGTGTGTGTGTGTGTGTGTGTGTGTGTGTGTGTATAAAATGCTTATGCTATAGTGTTACAAGCCAAGTTCTTTCAAATGGAAGTTAATGGGACCTATAATGGCACCAACACAAAAGCAGGCTATTAGTGTAGTGGCAGCCATGGGATTGGATTCAGGGAAAGGCTACAGACACCTGAGGGCACCGCCATGTTAACCACGATATTTCACTTCCAAATGGTTTAGATACCGCTGTACTTGTCTGTCTGAATGCATGTGTTTGTGATGCCCTGGACTAAAGCTGTGTCGAGTCCCTGCAAACCCACATGTCAGCATTTAAGCTGGTGAGAAAAATGTTATGATAACCAAAAGGAATGACTGCAAAAATAAGAACCACGTTGTAAACAAACCCAACTGCATTAACCCTTAGGAATAGCCTGATCTGTTGTATCATTTCACCACCTGTGCACACACAGATTCAGCTACAGGCAACCAACAACAATGTCCTATGCACAGCACAAAAACCAATTGGCATGAAATTATGGTAGAGAGGGGGCAGCGTGGTATTTAGGTCAACATTGTTCATATTTTCATCCTTTAATTTGTTTATCCTCTGAAAGAATGCTTGCCAATATAACATGGTACTTTTGCACAGTGTTGTTTCAGCCCACTGCTCCAAGCTCTCTGTACTGTACCTTCCCTCCAAAAAGCTTTTAAGTCTCCTAATGAGATTAATTAAGCCAGTCCAGAGTTTGTTTAATGAGGCCCCAGTGGCTTGAAGCACGGAAAGGACCATAACTAGGAAAGAGAAGCTTTACATCCCAAATAAAAAGGACCAAAACTTTAAAGAGGGTTTATAAAGTTAAACCTCTGAGTAAAGTGTTGATAATCCATTTAGCTACAGGGTAGTGGGACACTTTTGGAGACTGGCAATTCAGTCCTGCAACTTACTGGCTAGTAATTAAACTGACATAATTTCAGTGTAAATTCCAGTCTGAAGTGCCCGTGATTGTCTCCCTCTGAAAGAGGCCTCATATGGCACACTACACTCTGACCAAATATTTAGCAACTTCTGTCATGGCCTGAAAGAGAGAGAGAGAGAGAGAAAGAGGGAGCGAGCCAGGAGGTGCTGCATGAATATATGCTCCTCAATTAGGGGGACCATGTAAGAATGGGTGAAATTCGGGGGGGGGGGGGGGGGGGCAATGAACATTAACACATGTGAAAATCAAACGCTTTTGTTCATGAAGTCACCTGTCTGTTATTAGAAAAAATACAACTGTGGATATGTTGGTAAATCATGATCTTTTACTTAATTTTTATATTTATTTTATTCATGTCATCAGTGCAGTGTCACATCTGTCTGCGCAACGCGCGTGTCAGATCTCTCCGCCGTGCCGTGGCTGCCTGAAGATACACTGTAAGTTCCACTAACCACAAGAAAACAAAAAGGGGAAAAGAGCACGAGTGTTACTTACTACGCTGTTGACACAATGTACAGATAACCTGCAACCCCTGCTGGAGCAAGAGAACTATACAACGATCAGTAGGCCTATATGTTTAGGCTACAATCAAAACTCATGTCAGGTCTAATTTTCAGGACAAACCGGAATGGGGTCTGGACAACTGCTCGTAATTCGGGACTGTCCCGGATTTTTTGGGACGTTTGGTCACCCTATCCTCAATAGAGCTCCTTAATCAAAAATGATTTTAAATACGCCTAGTAAACATTTGGAAAATCAATATGTGAAGGTCTGCGTTGATAGTTGTTCAAATTATAGGCTAATTATGGGAAACACTGCTTTCCCTACCACCTCCCTTCACCCCCAGAGAAAGGACTTTTTAACTAATTATTCAGTCATATCCATAACAGAAGCAAGGAGTGTGGTTTTTACAGAGCATATAGCCTAGGCCTAACGTTTCTTAACGCCACTGGCTGAAATAAAAAAATAAAGCAAGTAAATCCCTGCTTTTTAACAGCTGTTTTAATGCACATGTAGCCTGTTTATAAGAGCAGTATTCAGCAGTTACAAAACGTTATGTTAACGCCACTCTCTCCTGATGAGTCCAAGCATCAGTGGCAGTAGCTGGTGGAGTTTCTTTCTGTAAGTTTCACATTGCTGTGCTGCTTCAGCAGATGCTTCAATAAATCAGATGTAGAATTGTTGCGGTTGAAAGATTTTTGCTGGTCACACAGAGTTTACAATAGACAATGTTCTTTGTATCTTAGACTGTGACACAATAATGGCAGAAGCTACTTACAGCTGTGGAAAGAACGCCTCTCCCCCCCCGTTCTCCATTCTTCATTTAGTTTTTGGCTATCAGCGGACATGAACAACAAAGTCCGGTCCAGCTGAGCTGTTGCACAGTCGTGGATTTACTGCAAGGATGGTGTGTTCAGTAACGAGTAACACAGCGTTACTTGCCTTAGTAACTAGTAATAATATTACTGTTTTAGAAAAGTAATTAGTTACACTACTTAGTTACTGGGAAAAGTAATATTATTTAAGTAACGCGTTACTGCCCAACACTGGTCATGTCTGATGGTTGCATCTATATAGTGGTCTCATGCACAGGTTGAAGACGAATATAATGAAAAACTTTGACAAATACCGAATAACTAAATTCACATTTTTTTCAATTTATTTTCCCAATTTATTTTTTACCATTGCATAAATTAAATAGTCAAAATGTGCTTTTTACTAAGTGTTTCCCCACAGGATTTGGAGAGACTATGGGGGGTGGGCCTGAGGCCTGAGAGGGTCCGGTAGAGTAAAGTTTACTTTTAATGGACACATGCATAATGTTTTATACTTTCTGCGAACGTAATCCAATTAACCTTATTTCCATCCTGTATTTTGAAAACGGGACGTTGTCACATGTGTATCCTCACTCTAAATTCTTCATGTCTGACCCAATTGGATAAATAATGTATGTGGTTCTCGTGTCGCCCAACATGAAGACTTCATAGCATCTCTTCAGGTAGGACTCTCATACTGTCTTTGTAAAGACAGAAAATGACAGGATAAAGTCGCTAATATGCCTCTCAGCGCGCTTTGGTCCATTTCAGTTACCATAAAGGCTTGAATACGTGTGCAAATATAGGTGCGGCTAGCTTAATCGCCTTCTCAGAAAAGAGTGACAGAAACAGTCAAAGCGGGTCAGACCGTTGCCTTTTCTAAGAAGTCAGCCACAGATGGAGTGGATGTGCTAGGAGACAATTCAGCAAAACAGTGTCTGCAAACGGATTTAAATCAAACCTTTTGACTTATTAGGCCGAACACCGAAAGTTCTTTTGTGCTATTTTCAGCTAATTCATTTCAGTGGTCGAACATTCGGTGCATCCCTAATTTTTGATTAGAAAGCACTATTTCAATAGCTGTAATGTTGCAGACAGGGACGCGTTGTCCTCTTCAGACAGCAGCTCGGTCAGGGTTGTCATCGGTTTCAGCACATTTTTAATGTCCTCTATCGCATTCCAGTGTGCTGTGGTAAGGTCCAATGTACTGCTGTCGCTTTTCTTTGTAAAGTTTGGGCCAGACAGCACTGCGGTAATGGGCCAGCGTTGCTCCAGCAGTCGCTCCAACATTGAAAATGTTGAGTTCCAACGTGTGGACACATCCTGAATTAATTCATGCTGAGGGACGTTTTGCTGCTCCTGCTTCTGTTTTAGCCCAGTTTTTGCTTTGTGCCCCTTTTTGAAATGTCCCACCAGATGACGTGATGCAGCCACTGCACGACAAATTGGATCTTGTTTGAGTGCAGCGTTAATATAGAGCTGCAAAGTGTGCCCGGCACACCTGACGCCCTGCATCTCTGGCCATTTATGTGATTCCTTTAGTGTTTCCACACAGAGTGCCATATTAGCCGCGTTGTCACATACAACAGAAACTCTCTTTGCTTCTTGAATTCCAAAGGTATCAGCAACTTCAGATAGTCGCGCAGCAATGTTTATTCCCGTGTGCGCCTCTTCTATTTGTTTTGTCTCAAGCACAAGACTCTGTGCTCCATCAATGAAATGGGCAGTCACTGTCATATAGGACTCCATTCTTGAACAGACTGAATCAACATCACAAACTGTAGTCTTGGCAGTATCTGACTAATAGAGAGCTACCTACCGTCAGTGCTGATGCTGGTAATTCAGTTACAATGTATCAAGTGGTTCCTAATGTACCAACAGTTTTACCTTTCACATCACAAATTAGATTCAGAAGTTATCCAGATGAAATTTATGAGTCAGGTAATACATCAGATTGGGGCCTTTGGAGAAGCTGGGAGTGAAATAAACAGATCAAAGGCCATTTGGGCAACGCAGCACCAATACGTCACCTCAGCCTAAATGCAGAGTGCCATTAAAGTCAGTGGAAGCTTGATCCCCATTTCTCTGGCTACACATACAAACTCCAGAGACAGCCAGATTCTTTGGCACTCAGTATAGGGGATTGTAAAGGAACTCACTAGCTGCCCTGGATCAGTATTACAACAAGAAATACAAAAATAGATGACTAACATACAAAATAAACGATCAGGAGAATCAGAGGTGGTCAGAGAATATATAGGGACACAATGAGAATAAAAGACATGGGGTGAGGGTCAATAATGGGTTTTCATATCCTTATTTCATGACTAAAATCATTTAAATAGAGTGTAGCCTTACCTATTTGCCTCTCCAGGTCAGCCGCTTCATCAGGGGTGGCCCTGGGCAGCACACCTGGGTCACTGAAGCTAGTCCTCAGGAGCGTCCCCAGTACAAATAGAAACAGCACACCTCCTATGACTGGGATAACTGGGGTCAACTGCAGGGCCAGGAATGGACAACTGAGAGGAGAAGAGATGGAGGAAAAAAAGATAAATATGCTGCAAACAATCAAGAAACACACGGTTCTGTCTGGGTGGTGAAGCTTAGCTGTGCAGTAAAAAATTTCAAGTCTTGGGATATTGCTGGACAAACATCAGCTACATCATCAAATACAAACCGCCTTACTGAATGTAAAGATTAATGCACAACAAAAAAAGCCTGTGCACAACACTGAATGCCGGATGAGACAAGCAATGAGGTTTAGGAAGTAGTAACACCTGCAATGTGTTGCTTATTGACCAGTAAGTGGATATCATGACTTAACAGACCAACAGGCACACACATAAGGGTCAGTCCCCAGAGTTGTAATCTGTTCTAATGAGACACTTTAGCGTAATCCCATTAAATGTCCAACTGTGCAGGTGGTTATTACAGTAATCCCATTTAGTCCCACAGGGGTGGGGTACAGCCTGTTGCATCTAGGGCTGTAATCAACCAAAGAAAATCTTGGTCGACTAAAGTCCTGAAATTTTCGACTAAAAATCTACTAAAAATGACGTAATTATTATTTTTTTAAATTAGTCAGTTATGCACTGTGCGCAGTACTTGGTAGCCTTGTTGTCCGCCTAAATGAATTGTAAATAAACATTAAATCGTTTTTTTATCTATTTATTTTGCACTAAATGAGTCTGTCGGCTCTGACAGCAATGCATCACGTGCACCTGCGCAATATCATAGCCTACTATTTACGAAAATAGTACTATGTTGCTTGTCAACTAGTGATATCATCACAAGAATTGTTGAGGAATATGCAACATCATTTCGACAATTATTTTTGTCATATGTTACAATAATAAGTTTATTAGACACTATGATCATTTCAGCAGAGCGCAGCTGAGCGCTCAGCAGAGCGGCGGCAGACACGAATAGACTATTAACTTAAAGTTTTTGCTCTTAATAAACACAAAAGGCATATCCACTTTAATAAACAAAGAATATTTATTAAACAAACCAGATCAAAAGCAGAAACGAAATAATGTGCATAACTGAAAAATAAAGCATCTTAGGCTCAAAACTAACACACACAATGGGCACAGCGCAATTTCGCATTAGGCTCCAAATAAAAAAATTAAAAAATAATAAAGTGCCCAAATAATCCAATAAATACTAGAAATAATAAATGTCCACTTTGCACAATAATAAAAGGGAACCATAAAAGTATTAGGCTACTATTAGCCAAATTTTAAACGAAACAGAATAAAGGGCAACAACAAGGTAAGTGCACTCAGAAGAAGAAATACAAAAATTAATGAATCAAATGCCCAAATCCACAAGTATGTCAAATAAATGTGCAAAATTATAAAATGTTATTAATGTCCAAAACGAAATAAAGTGCATAACTGAAAAATAAAGCATAGGCTCAAAAAAAAGTGGGCACAGCGCAATTGCGCGTTAGGCTACAAAAATAAAAGGTGCCCAAATCCAATAAATAAATGTGCAAAATTATAAATTTTGATTAATGTCCAAAACGAGCAAATGGCTACTCACAGAGAGTACAGTCAATGTCCACTCCACACTTTTTTGTGTTGTGTGCGAGAAACACAAGCATATCCACGTTCTTTGGAAGGAGATAGCTTCTTGCTTTATTGACAATAAATCCTGCCTTGGAGAAAATGCGTTCAGATGGCGTGGATGTTGCAGGGATACAGAGCAGTCGCTTTGCAACTCGGGCCAGGCTCAGGTTCTGTCTTGGGGTTTTTTTCCACCACCCCAATGGTCCGGAGTCGATTTTGGTTCTGTCTTGAAGATAGTTTTTCATTTCTTCTGTCACTGTGCTTCTCCCACCTGATTCTCTAGAAAGCAGATCATCTTCGTCTTCGCACAACAGCATAGCAATCTCCTTCTCTTTGTCGTTTTTCTGCTTTTTTGACACATGTTGCTCTTCCTCACTTCCAGGTTCACCTTTGCCCGTGACTGTACTGAGTGCACCCAGTCGTTCTGCCAGCTGTGCAACTACTATATAGGCCTCGTCTCGTTTGGCATCATCCAGAAAAGACAGCTGCTTAAAACGAGGGTCTACTACTGCAGCTGTAATGTATACACTGTTAGTCATCATCATTCGGTTTTTAAACTCCCATCTACTGTCAATTTCTTCGACCAGCTTGCTTTTCAATTTTTTGGTAATGGGGCTGTCATCATCCGCGATAGCCAGGTGACGTTTCTTCAAGTTTGCTAGCATGGGTACTGTTGCAGACAGGGACGCGTTGTCCTCTTCAGACAGCAGCTCGGTCAGGGTTGTCATCGGTTTCAGCACATTTTTAATGTCCTCTATCGCATTCCAGTGTGCTGTGGTAAGGTCCAATGTACTGCTGTCGCTTTTCTTTGTAAAGTTTGGGCCAGACAGCACTGCGGTAATGGGCCAGCGTTGCTCCAGCAGTCGCTCCAACATTGAAAATGTTGAGTTCCAACGTGTGGACACATCCTGAATTAATTCATGCTGAGGGACGTTTTGCTGCTCCTGCTTCTGTTTTAGCCCAGTTTTTGCTTTGTGCCCCTTTTTGAAATGTCCCACCAGATGACGTGATGCAGCCACTGCACGACAAATTGGATCTTGTTTGAGTGCAGCGTTAATATAGAGCTGCAAAGTGTGCCCGGCACACCTGACGCCCTGCATCTCTGGCCATTTATGTGATTCCTTTAGTGTTTCCACACAGAGTGCCATATTAGCCGCGTTGTCACATACAACAGAAACTCTCTTTGCTTCTTGAATTCCAAAGGTATCAGCAACTTCAGATAGTCGCGCAGCAATGTTTATTCCCGTGTGCGCCTCTTCTATTTGTTTTGTCTCAAGCACAAGACTCTGTGCTCCATCAATGAAATGGGCAGTCACTGTCATATAGGACTCCATTCTAAGAGATGTCCACATATCTGTGGTCAAGCTCACTCCCTCGCTGTGTTGTATTAACTCTGATACTTTCTCTTTGAGTCCCTCATATTTTGCGGTTAGTGCATGCGTGATTGTGTGGCGTGCTGACACGGTATATCCAGGTTCCAAAACTTTTTACAAGTTATTGAAACCTTGGCCCTCCACAACAGCAATGGGCCTCATATCCTGAGCAATAAAGTTAACAATTCCTTCCGTTATATTATTTTTCCGTTTGGATGATAAAGGAGGCTTAAAATCCAGCATGCTCTGGGTGTGTCTGGGGGATGCCGTCATTATGGATGGATGCAATGGACCAATTAATCGACTAATTGACTGGGACGTTACAGCCCTAGTTGCATCCCATTTCATTTGTTAGTCCCTAGTCTATTAGATTGGGTTTGGGGTCAGCAAAGAGATGCCACTGGAAACTAAATGAACATGTGGTAACCATATGTTACTCTATTCTCTTTGTTGTGAGGAGGATAAATTACACGGAATGAACAAAAAAATGCAGAGGTGGCTGGGATGACAGGATTGGACTGTACTCCGTTACTGACTGTTATTTTAAAACTGATGCAAAGAAACAATGATAGATCATATACAAAATGAGGATGCTGAAAGTGAGACTGATAAGGAGACAGTGGTCAACCATTGTGGTTTCACTGTTCAACCACCTTTTTGCAACAACATTTTTGCTGAAAGAGAAACAGATAGTGATATACTGTCCGGCAGTGACCTATCACACCATCTCACCAGCCTTCAGATGGTAACACCTTGGGAGGGCCGTTACATCCGCTGATCTATGCCAACACCGGTTATTGTGATAAACCAAGGCAAACTATATTTAGGCTTGCCATGTCGGGTTCCAACAATGACAGCAGATGGGGAGAATGTAAATATGGACCTGGGGCATTTACTTAATTTTGCTGATGTGTGCTAATTGGGGTTCTAGCATCATCTGCACACGCTCCCTGCTTTCACCTAAAATGCTGGAGATGAAATGCCCGTCAGCCATCAACATGATGCCCTAGCAAAGAATTATTCAAACCAGATCCTTACACACATATACAATACTTGTGCCGTTTTGAAGAACATTTAGGCTGTGACAAATACACCGTCTACAACTACTGCCATTACCCTATCTGAAAGGACACTGGCCAGTCCTGCTGTTCCTCTACATCTGGAGTGAGACCGAACTAAGCAGAAAACACTGGGTTGTCTGGGACATCAGCAGGGGGCTGCAGGCATGACAACACAACGTAGCACAAACATTTCTCCAGTTAAAAACTTGCCTGGACTTTCCAAGGCCATTGTACAATATATACACCAATGTTACATCGTGCATCATTTAACATTTGGCCGTTTTTATATTTGCCGTTTACTGTAACGGCCACGTTTGAGTGAGAAAATGGCTTAAACTGACTGTTGTTACAGCCTGTAAATCGTTTCGTTATTTTCCTTGCCAAGTTTTAAGTCAAGCACTTCAGTAAAAATACTGATTTCCCAGTTCAGGAAAGGGTTGACATACAGTGTGTAAATTAATGTGTCACAGCAATCCTTTTGAATTTAATGTCCAGTATTTTTCTGATCATGGATCTGACAACAGCACTGACATGGAAATTAGACTAATTTTAAAATATGCTGCTTTTAGTTATTAATATTTTATTCACTCATCATCCTGAAAAAGAGATAAAACACATTAGAATGAGACAAATTTTTGACATTAATTTTGGATAAATTAATTGTTAAATTATTCAACTAATTGAAAAAGATAATTGTTAGATTAATGTGTTGAAAACATCGTTAGGTGCAGCCCTAGTCCTGAGATTGTAATCTAATACATATTCCAAAGCCGTGCCGAGGCAGTGCTGCAGACCATCTTTCTGCTTATAACGTTCAAATCTGGCTTTAATAGTTTAAATAAAAAGCAGCTCTGTCACTCCTGCCTATCAAAATACTTGTTGAAGAACCCCTTCAACAGACGCTGCATTATTGAAAACATGATTAAATTCTCGTATTTGACCACAGTATTAAAAACCATCTCCTTTTTCCATGTTGTGTTACTTCAAACTTTGCTAAATACTATTCATCTAG